GAACTCACCCGAACGTGAGAATTCTATCGTGTCCTACACGACACATAGGTACATCATCAGCCTCTTGAGGCTGTTTACGAACTTGTAATCGATGCTGAGATGTTACAGGCTCAAACACTCATTGCTCTTTCTCGATCCAGATCCGAGCAGAGGCGTCGCGATCATGCTGATCCTCATCGTACCAGCTGGAGATCATGGATCGGGTGGTGATTCAGATGGCGATGGCTTCAGGAACGGCAGCGGTGGTGGAGGTGGCGGATCTCCTGTGGATCCGGCGGGGATGCCTCTTGTTTCGACAATGGTTCCACGACGCCATTTTGCTACTGATCATGTGTGTATTCCTGGAGCCAACAGACTCTTCAGTACAACATTGCTGACGTGAATCTCTGGGTAATTCAAAGAATTAATACCCTGATAATCGTGACTATGAGTTTGGAAGTGTTGTCTCGCGCGTAACCATTTCGCCCTGAGTGGAGCATCCCCAGTCACGTTCCTCGAGTGGATACTCCAAGACCATATCAGTATCGCTGTCACTTTATCACGAGTCAGAACGCCCATGTCCTCATGGCTGCCCTGCCCTGGAATGTTCTCTCTGGTGCCAACATTCCCGTGTCCATGTCATTCGAGATCACTGTTGATGGTCGCTTGGGATTCCTGATCGAGCAATATTCGGCGGTGGAGTTCCAGGATCTGGTCGCTTACTGGGAGTCGACGCACCGTTTTCCAGGATCGCCGGCATTGATCCGCAGCGATCAATATCTGACGCTCTTTGTCGTGAAGAGGAAGAACCGTCGGTCTCATGCTGGCGCTAGATGGAAGCAGATTTTGCAACTATTCTTGATCGCCATGCGCGAGGGCTGGTGTGATTTGGATTTGTTGTTGGATTCATACTTCTTCCACTCCCCCAAGTGAACGGATGATATGGCCTGGTATCCTGGCATCGAAGTTCGCAGTGCCAACCTCACTGATCCACAGTTGCACCGTCGCGAGCCTGCGGATCTGATCGAGGCTCTCGATGAGTGTGGCGCTGCAGATCCGTGACGTACGCACTACCGACTGCACCATGCAGGCCATCAAACTCGCCGGATCACGCGTCTCGCAGGCAAATTCTTCAATATGGCGGCCTTAAACCCCAGCGCACAGTCTCTTCCTCCTCAGCCATGCCCCTGATGTATCTACATGCATTTAATCCGGATCAACTTCGTTAACCGTAGTATATGTCATGTTTTCTCTGACCTCGGTTCGTCAGTACTCTTTGGTTGAGCCCAATTTCAAACCGCATTTATTCGAACAGATCTTCACTCCAGCACCTTCACACTTGTCGTTCATTTTTTGATCTGTGTTTTTCTCTGTAATATAGTCCTATATTCACTGTCAAGTTCCGTTTCTGCTCACCTCATGTCAGCCCCTGAATCAATTTCTTCCCACATAGATCCTTAATCATCATATACAAAATCACGTAGACCCTGTCCTCCGATCTGCAACCTCCTTGCATATCCATCAACCTCCAACCCCATCGATGACCAGCTCGCCAGTGTTGGTCCAGATCTCACAGTACTTCGTGAGATTTGCATCACACCCAAACGGTTGCGATTAGTGCGATCTCGCAGGAACTCGTAGAGAAGAGAGCCGCAGTTGAGATCTCTCTCATCTACCCAAGTTAGATCTTCATATCCAATGTACCAGAAATGCTCGGTAGATCTGTCCAAATCTAGCCCTCTTGCCAGTCCTCATATCGGAAATTCGTTCCACTTCGTATTCATCTGGATCCCGATCCTGGATCCAGCTGTCTTCAGGTAGGAGAGCCTCATCGAAGTCCACCCAATCGTCTTCTGATTCTAAAGTGGATCTAGGATCCCAACCATGTATCATGTAGAAATGGGTTTCACCTCGGATCCGATCTCTTGCAGTGTTGATCGCGAAAGTGAGCCGTTCGGTGTATTCATCCCAATTTAGTTGATTCGAGATCCTGCACATACATTTTGAGAGCTCAAGTGGTTGTCTAGACCATACGCGCTGCGGATTCATTAGCCTGGAGCCGATAAGCCCTAATTAGGCATTGGCGTTGACCCAAGATCTTGTTGAAAGGTTTAAAGAAGTCAGACATAAAGCCTGGTTCCTGATCATGCCGGATCGCCTCGCTCGCACCAATCTGCGGAAGACGCATTCTTCGTAGGTCTCCGCAATTGTTTGAGCGGATCTAGAGGCGCTGGCTTTGGCAATCATATATCCCAAGAATAGACCCACGAAGATCAACAGTTTGGTGTTGATTTTGAAGGATCTAGGCAACGAAGGTATGTGATCCATGGCAATGATCGGGAATGAGTATGTCGCCTGAATGTTACCAGGTGACTCACCCTGCATCCAGGCCATCCTGGAGATTCTCTTCCGCCTCAACCTCGATCCCGCATCGTCGTTGTAGTGCGGCACTTGCTAAGCTGTCGGCATTCCTATTCCGATCTCGCTTAACATGCAATAGTTCGTGATGCGGCCAAGTACGTAGTCAATCCCTAATCCTCTGACACAATAGGGTCAAACCCGGTGCTTTACCTCCCACTTGTCGGATCATCAGGTTCGAGTCTCCACACATCACCAGACGTCGTGGATCTAGATATTCCAACAGATTGAAACATATCAACAGCCTATGATATTCCGCCTCGTTTACCTCCAAGCCCTCGGCGTACCCGGATCTAGCCTTCAGCACCATCCATTCGGACAACTGCCATAAGATCGCGCTATAGGCGCCTCCGCCTTTCTTGACACGAGCGTATCCGTCAAAACTAACGACATATAGATCCTCATAGCGTCGAATGGGGGGATCGGAGCCTGGATTTTGCGTCTTTGCTCCTTTTTAGGGGCAATCGAGATCAGTGCCGTATCCACTTCAGACCTAGGGGTAATGCAGGTTACCAATGCTACTAAGATTTCATCCTCTCCTTTAACCCACTTGGAGATCTCAAGCGAGCTACCCATTGTCCTAGACTACCTTGTAGGGCTGCGGATCTGAAGAGCCCCGCCAAAGTAGAGTGTCCGGTCAACACGTGGATCGGCCTTCCGACCTGTGCATTGTAGTTAAGATCCAGGATCCTTAGAAGGACTTATACCTCCTACTCTGCAATCCTGTAATTCAACTCATTCGACAACAGAGTACGGCTTGCAAACATCACTGGGTAGTAAATCTGGTCATATGCTTGCATCAATGATCCCGAAATCGCCCAATCGCTAGCGTACACCACGACCGTGGCTCTGCAATCTGGATCAAAGTGCCGTAAGATCGGAGTAGTAGTGGTCTTGGCTTTAAGCTCACTGAAGGACAGGTGGGCATGGATCCACCGTGGCTAAAACTAAGTAAAATCTGGCGCCTCCAGATCCAAAGTCTTTCGATAGTCGATCACTTGACCCTCCTGTGATCCTGGATTCACCTTTTCCGCCTCCAGCATTGTTGGATCTGTGCTTGAGTGGTCTCTTTCATCATCACAAAACAAAGTGGATTTCTCGCAATTCATACTGAACTGACGCGTAGATCGCGTAGTCTTCGATAAGTCGACTGTAATAGTTCAGACTTCCCAAAAATGACTGCGTAGCTCTGAGTGATCCTGGAAATGCTAGGTCAGTCAGTTGCGGCGGATCCTTCGGATTCACCTCCAGTCCATTGTAAGAGACTTATGCCCGAGATATTCCACCTTAGGTATTCCCCAGAAACTCTTAATCACATTTATCGACAAATTCCACTTATCACACACTTCGAGTAATTCTTCGACTCGATCACATAGTTAATCCCAGTTATTGGCGGGGATCAGGATGTCATCGATATATGATCTGCAACCAAGCACCGATGGCTTGCCAGGATCCAACGATTCGCCGTCCTCAAACCCATCGTAAGTACTTCCGTGATCTTCAGACGTCGGGATCCGGGTGAACACATATAACGCGTTGTCGATCATACGTTGTCAGATCTGAGGTGCATTCTTCAAACTGAAATGCATTCGGTTCCACTCAAATAATCCAAAAGGAGTGACAAAAGCCGAGATCAAAATGAGCACGATCCGTCCGTTTCACCACCCAAAATCCACTTGCCATATCCAAAGAACAGTACCAGAGGGTTGCCTCCAGATCTTGAAGTAGGTCGTTGATCAAAAGCATTGCGTAGATCATCAGCTGGGTTAGAATGTTAACCAACCTATAATCGATGCATAACCTCATATCCACTCCATCCTTCTTGATGGTCACCACGACCGGGGAAGCACACGGTGATCTAGAGTAGTTGATCATCCTGCCAGACAATAGACTCTTGATCACGTCTACCAGCTTCTCCCTGAACTGGATCTACAGTTTACGACATTTAAGGGCGATTGGCCTCGATCTTCCGACATCGATATCACATACGTCTTCTCTGACCGCCGGTGGAAGGGCAATTCCATTGCCGATCAAGAGGTACCGGAACTTCCAGATCCCTTGCGAAGTTGATCAATCTCTTCTGGGGTCTGATTTTCAGATCCCCATAGCTGAATGTCCTCGATCACAGCTTCGTCGTCACATGAACTTCTGGCAGTACCGCCATCTGACCGTCGACATCTTCCGCCTACCGGTCACTTCTTTCATGGTAGTACACGCATTCATTAAAACCTTGATCTGAGTCCCAGGTGAGGTCCAGATACGACACGGCTGGTTGAACGTTCAACAACAGGTGATGGATTCATGTCCGTTTTTGCAACATAGATGCGGCGCACTTGTCGTTCCGCGGATCACCAGTCACATGTCCCGTCCCAGATTGTACACTCATCAGTGATGGCGGTTCAGATCCGCCGCATTTCGACAGTGATGTTCCTTGGTCTTGACTCCTCGAATGTGCATGTAGTTGGCCCTGACTGGCAACCCCAATTCCGTCAGCCTTCCTCTTCTCGCGTTTCCCCAATGTTGGTGATCGATATGTACATCGTTATCCCTGATTCGTCGGATATTGTCGGCACCCATCGATCCCCACAGCGTGTTGTGAGTCGACGACCTCAGGCGCAATGGCAGTTCCACTAACTCTACTGCGTGGATCCTAAGGTGTTGGCCGACGTTTACGATCTTTGCTTTGTCGCTATAAAGCTGCCGCCTCCCGCTAACAGGATCCGGACTTCGTCCGGCCAACTGATTGATCCATGTGCTAGATCAAAGCGGATCGCGGCTGAAACCATGAGGTCCATACCGAGTATAGCTGGTTGGCCAGTCAGATCACCCACCCAGATATCGAAGAAATATACCAGTGATCCAGCGAGAGTTATCTTGATTCGGGTTCTTCCTTCCGTCCGGTACGCATTATCACCGGTTCCCACACAGTCCTGGATCTGACTCGAGTTGATACAGCACTCAACCTTACGTGCAAAGGTGGTGTCCACGATGGACACCTCGGCTCCGGCATCTAAGAGTACGATCGCTTTCGCATTGTGAATGTTGCCTGTGATCTTCGCTTGACGAAACCATTTACCTGGAGAATGATATTTCCAGTAACCATGAGACTCTCCCGGTAGTAGCTCCATGATTGGTAGTCGTTGGTACTCCGCGACCTTACCAGGTCTCTTGATCTCCAACATGTCCTCAAGATCGGTGTGTTTAAACCATAGCTCTGGATCTTGCTGTCTCTAATAACCTCGTGACTCTCCTGGTTGAAGTTCCACACTCATGGTGACTTCAGATCTGGCATATTCGTCGACTTAGCGAAGACTTGAAATTGCGAAGGTATGTTTCCCATGCAGATCACATGTATTACCGTATAGATCGGGTTGTTTACTAACCTGATCTAGCGATGTCTTGTTCTCAAATGCATAGATGCAATATCGAGAACCATCCGCTCGTTTTAAATTCCACCCCGTCGAGCGTCCTCGTTTAACATCTTCTTTGCAGCTTCGGGTAACATACCCACGTGCTTAGTGTGGTTAAACCATTGGTGAAATTGGTTACAAAACGCTTCCTTCGGACATTTTCCCATGTCATGCAGTTTTCCACATCCATGACACACGAAGAGGCAGTGATCCGACGGATGTCCTCTCTTGCCGCACTTCGTGCATGTAATGCGCCTCCAGCGACCAAGATCCGAGTCCTTCCTAGATCCAAAGTGCGAGCATCGATCGCGGTTAAACCCATTACCGTGGATATTCGAGTTGTGATTATGGTGGCCATGATCACGGTTCGGACGTCGTCGATCCAAGGTCATCAACTCTTATTCCACCTTCGGGGTGACGTCTTCGTTCGCTGCAACGAAGATCTTGAGATGACTGTTGATGTCAAAGTCAGATCCGCCCGATCTGTCAGACACACAGTCGGATCCAGAGTCGTTAGCTTGGATCTGGATCGCGCGTAATGTCTTAGCTGGAGCTGAAGGGGCAGGGTTGGTTGGCTTCTGTCTGTAATTGCTGGATCCGAACGCGGTCTTCCTTTGGCGATTTTTTGCGCGATCCCGAGCGCGAAAGACTTCTTCAAGATCATCCGCGTCAGTCAACCGCAGCAAGGTTAACCGTTATGCTAGACCTTGATCCTCAAGCATCTTGATGGAATGATCCACATGTTCACATCGTTCGTTCACGCTGCCGTCCTTGATCTTCAGCCATGTACGGAGTCCCGCCACATTGAGCCGATAATATAGTTCCATGGTGATTCGTCGGATGTACGTCACGTATGGTAGTATTGCCTTGCTACCGATACTCCAAGTCCGCGGTACTGGATGTGGAAGCTGCGGTGTAGATTTGTTGCGAGTGGGTATACTCAGCTGGCTATATCAGGTCTTCGCGTATCTAGCGATAAGATCGTCGAAAGACAAGCACGTTCCATCGTCCGATGATGGATCTCGGATGAACGCAGACTTTACTTTGCTGATCTACGCTCGCACTCGATCTTCGTCCTGATCCTTGCTGGAAAACCCCTTGAGATCCGAGATCGCGGAGATCTGGACACAGTGGAACCGGTGGATCCAGCAGAAGTGGTGACCACTTTGGCTTCTATCGAGGTGGGAAAGTCTACATCGTCCGGGCCATACTCCTAGCGAGATCCATGCTCGGAAGATCGGATGGACTGCATCTCGACATCTTGTGGTCCCTGATGCTGTGGACGCGTAATAGCTGGATCTTTGTTCGCCTCGCATTTTTCGGCCATGTATCGATCCATTGCAACAATGAAGAACTTTTGCAAGGTACCGCATGATCGATCTGAACTCTCACTTGCTTGATTCGTTGGTGCCGTCCATTATCCCGGTGACTGCTTTTAGAGCGAAAGTAGCGGCGGATGTTGTATCGATGCTCCGGAGAGTCCAAGGGACGTCCGTCGCGGTGGCTCCGAAGAGATACAAGATCCGTCTTCCGTGGCTGACGCATAATGTGATGAATGTCTCAATTTGTCGACAGCGTCAGTCGTCGTCAATGATGATAGGTCTCAGCTCTGGGGCACCTCGCCGACTAGGATCTTCGATTTCTGGAACAGATTGCGGCTGGTAACTTCGATCACGTCAAATTCCAGGTCAAACAGTGCTTCTGCGTCGAATGATCCAGGGACCATACCAGTCTCTTTGAACAGGCAGATCAGCTCCATCCCTGCATCAACTCTGTTGGCCAGTGTGGCTCGAGCAGTCACAGGGTCGTTTGGGTCCGCAATCCGGCGTTTGAGGAAACAAATAACCGGATCCTGGTCCACGAAGTCATGTAACTCCTTACGGTGATATATGGGCTTCAGACCTTCTTCATACCAGCCAGATCTGATGTGGTCTTCATCTTCCACGTCGTCTGGCGCTATGACCTTCTTCCGTACAGTCTTGGAGCTTGGCTTCCCGATCTCAGATTCAGAGACTTGCGTGTTCTTGGGTTGGTTTATCCGGATCAATGAATGAATAATGTTCAACCTTCACCTGCGATTGTTTTGTTGTTGGATCATGCCGCGAGTCAGCATCCACCGGGATCTCCATGTCGGAGACCAGTGGAGGATGCGTTTTTTTTCAGATTTGGATCGGGATCTAGATTGGTACCACTCCCGTCGACAAAGTCTTCCTGGTACTCCGGCGATCCACCGATCTAGCGTTCGGCAATGTCGTCGTCGATCTGGCACCCGACAACATCTCGTTCCCTTGTTCAGTCTTCACTGGAACTTCTTCTTGAAACTCACGTTGAAATCCCATGTCACCAAAAGATCCCGGCACGCGAACCATTGTGGTGGAGCGGGATCAGCAAAAGTCTTGACAATGCCGGATCCGGCTTACCACTGCGCCCAGGACACCGACTATAGGGGGGTACTCCTGTTGATCCGTGGTCAGCCGAGCTTCCTCACCTTGTGTACCCGTCGCTAGAGTTGGATCTAGCTTCTCCAGTAACTGCAGGGGAAGTCCAAATATTGAAGATCTCCAATGATTTGGCGAGACGCAGCGATGTGATTAACGGCCCGGAACGTCTTCGCTCTGCTGCCAGGTAAGTTGATCCGGGGCCCACGTGAGTAGTCGAACGCGGATCACCGGTGGCCGATCTTGGATCCGGCCGTGTAAGTTCCTTGTTGTGTTGACAGTCGTTAATCTTGCGATACCTTTGAGTTGCTTGTGGACTCCTATGACCGGAACTTGGGAAGATTAAGAGATCGATGGATCTTCAAGCACTGAATGCCGTGGAGTCTGGGTTTGCATGTATTGAACATGTATTAGGTAGTTGGATCTGGCCAATGTATTATCTAGTTATCCGAACTACATTAAATACAATATTCCTAATACGAGATCACCTTGTATAACCAGTATATGTCCACGGTAGTCACCGCGGATCCAGCCATACCTGTCACTCCACTTGACCTGATCATTTCCCTCTGTATTTTCCCGGAATCCACTTCACCACATAATCATACCTTCGAGATATTCAATCTTCGCCGAGCTGGTGTATACGCGAGATCTGATGTGACTATTACTGTGGACTTTCGCCCACGAGAATCCAGAGGTTACTGGAAACAGCAGGATCTGTGGTTTAGGCCTGTACAACAAGATACTACATCTAAATTCTCCAAATCTAGTTGGATCGCAGAGTATTGATGACGTGGTTCCGCGTCGATATTATATCTTCTCCAGGAAGAATCCCGTGGTTATTGGAACCATCGTGCTAGTGATTACGTCAAGCCAAGATCGTTGGCAAAACCAACAATGTGAAGGCGATCTTACTACTAGATACAGGCGTTGAAGTGCCCATTGTATACTCCGCATTTTGGCGTAAGGTTGATCGCAAATCGACTCGATTCAGACGAAGGATTGTGTGGGGATCGATGTCAATGTGTTTTGAATGGATCGAGCAACGCGGATCAAGGATTACTTCTCCGATATCTATGTGGGAGATCTCAAGAAACTAACCTTGATATGGACTTTATAGTTCCGGCCGGGATCCGTTATGATCTCGCTAAGGGGTCAACCAGCTTACCCGACGAT